AGAGAAATATGGAAGTTTCTTTTATAATAAATGTATTAAAAACCTACTACCTACTACAGTATTTCATTTTACCAGGTTATACATGTCAATTATAACATACTGGCAAATTAGTCTTGTGTGATTTATGATGGTGTAAGAGAATTGATGTAACAAGCAGCAGTACATTCCTGATACTAAAGAATCTCTGGTTCAGCTCCTCATCACTTAAACATAATATCATTGCACATAGCTTGGATGGCTTTACACATGACCCAGAATCAAAGTAGAGAATTTTTTGATTAGCAGCAAACTAATTCATGCAAGTTAAATTCTTACATGGATTGGATAACCATTACTTAAAGAGTTGCTGCTTCAGTTTCAGGTTGCATGCAAAACTGTCCCACACTTTTTCAATAAGATTACATTTCAGCAATGAGGAATCAAAGAAGAGACTCTTTAATTAATGGCAATGTGCTGCTTAATTTTGCTTATGTGAGTATTATTTACTCAGGAGGATTTTGGCCATCATTTGTGATTTACTTGGGCAGTAGAATATCTCAATCACAGGCCATCACTGCCAGCAGCAAAAGGAAAGATAGTAACTCCACAGATTCCAGTCAGCTACAATAATCGGAAAGCATAAGGATGCTGGAGAAGTGATAGTCCTGGATATGATAGAGAAGACATGACCAAAATGTACACCAGGGAATACAAAAGGAAGTGTAATAAAACAAAGGGAAAAATAATGGAACATAAACAATCAAAAGATACTACTGCTGAATAAAGAAATCAATTCCAGTTAATAATGAAGGAGGCAATTAATTAAAAGGTGTATTTTCCTTCTAAAAAAGCAATGCTAGCGGTTTGCTGGCTGAATCTCATTGGCAAGCCACCAGAGAGTTGTCAGCAGTAGATTGTGCTGGTGATTTGTAGCACTGGGGTTGTTTGTTTGTTTGTTTGTTTGTTTGTTTGTTTGTTTATTGATTTGATTTGATTTGATTTGATTTGATTTGATTTGATTTGATTTGATTTGATTTTTATACTGCCCCATTAGTGCAAAACACAATTCTGGGTGGTTAGAAAATGATAAAATCAGACAAAACAGTGATAACCATAAAATTAAAAAACTTAATTGCATCCGCTCTTAACGTCACCAAACCAAGACAGAGGGCAGGGCAAGTGGCAAGTTCATGTGAGCTTGCTATCAAGGGCCTCCATGAAGAGCCACCTCTTGAGCAACCTCTTAAAGATAGGCAGGAGTGTCTGGTGAGGACCTGAGAGAAAGCCTTTTCAGTAGCTCCTCCCAGGCTGTGAAACACACTCCCCCCAGAGGTCAGGTTGGCCTCCTCCCTCTTCTCTTTCTGCTGGGCAGTCAGACCTTCATTTTTAGGCATTCCTTTAATTGATGCAGGTATGTAAGTGTCACTATGGGATGCTGCATATACATTTTCCCCAACTGAACTAAGGTGTGTATGTATGTTTTTAAATGGCAGTTTTTAAAATATTTTTATTTTTTAAACATTATATCACAATGTTTTTAGTAGTATTTGTTTTAATAGATTGTGAACCACCTTGTGTCCCTCTAAAGTGAGATGGGCAGCATATTGAATGAATGAATATACGTACAAGCAAGCAAGCAAGCAAGCAAGCAAAAAACAAGAATCCCACTCCACCCCATTCCAATTACATACAATGACCAAACTGACAACTGAATCTTGCTTCAACCCTAGCAGTGTGGATAGCATCTCTGTCCACTAAGCTGAAGGCAACAGGCTAGCAGGCATACTATCTGGGAGATACGGCTCAGTTGTCCTGCAGAAGGAACAGTCATGCCACTGACACTTCCTTGACACTGCCTAGCACAGCATGAGCAGTGATGGTTGCTTCACTCTTCCTAACAATGGGACCACTCCCGGGTCTTTGTTTACACCTTACCTCATAGATTTTAGGTTTAGTCTCTGTGGTGTACTTGTAGTATAGGCTGTACTGAAACAATGGATACCTCTCTAAGCAAAAGTAGGATACAGAATAAAATGTGCTTCTCAACTTAGCTGACCATAATGTTGCCACAATGTCCCCCCAGTGGTGAGCTAGACGGTAAGTATACTTTAGAAGGAGAGCAGTATAAAGGTAAAAGAAATGCGGGTGAATTAAGCAAATATATGCAAGTTCAACCTGCACACCCCCAAAGCCCAGTCCAAACTTTCCTGATTGCAGAGTTTTAGGCCAAAGGTCTGTTATCCAATATGTTTCAAACTTCCTGCGTATACTCACACCTTTGGATAAGTCAAGCTATGGAAATATTATTTTGAGAAGCTTCCTAGTTCAACTAACCAGCCAAAACAGTTGTTGAACTCCTACTGGATTTTAGCTGCTAGTGACTGGATTCTTTATCTTATTTTAGATTTAGGATCTATTCTGGATTATTTGCAGTAGTTTGACAAGAGTTTCCCACTTCCCATGATTTAAAAACAAGAAGAAAAAAAGCCACCACTTAGGATTAGGGTGCTAAAAAGAAGAAAGGCAGAATTGTGTGCCAACAAGATTTGCTTACGAGCTAGAGTCGTGGCACTGAAAGGAAATCACTGCTCAAAAGCACTTGCAGAGTAAATGGTTCAGAGCAGGGGCAGTTCATAGACTGGGATCAGGGGCCTCCTTATCCCCCAACAAGTGCCGCTTCCCTGGGCTTGAACTGTCTATGGATTTTATCTGGAGGAGAAGAGATTTTAATTGGAACAGTGGTGTGAAGGGAAGATTTAATTGCATTTTCCCCGGATACTGTACAGTGGGGTCTTGACTTGAGAACTTAATCTGTATTGGAAGGCGGTTCTCAAGTCAAAAAGTCTGTAAGTCAAGTCTCCATTGACCTACAGTGCATTGAAAACCGATTAATCCCGTAACAGGCCGTTTTTGTTCCATTTTGGTTTTTTTCTGGTCTGTAAGTCAAATCTCAGTCTGCAAGTCAAACCTAGGAAGAGATTTTAATTGAAACAGTGGTGTGAAGGGAAGATTTAACTGCATTTCCCCCAGATACTGTAGTGTAATTCCAGTGTTATGCATAAAACGTACATTGTCACTGTTCTTAAATGAGAGAGACAGTGCACGCTGCATACATTCACATATTGGACATCAATCTGTTTCTATTCTTTGCCTATTTGGTTCTGAATTTAAACTTCTCAAATTTTTGTGAAGTTGAGTGTACTTCGTCAGATGTAGAAAAGTTGTCCATAAATACTGACATTGGAATAAATGTATTCATCTTTAAAGTCGTTTTCCTACAACAGAGTATCCTTCTGGAAGTTATGTTTTATTTAGTGTTGCTTACTATAAATAAACAGTATTCTCTACTCAACTAGAAATCATCCAAACATTTAAAGCAGGTTAAGAGTTATCACACCTGCAGTTATGTAAATGGAATGCTACCTGCATATTACATACACAAATTTCCTGATCAATGACTACAACATGACATAACCAACTACATTATTTCTTCGTCTTCATCCGTGCCAGCATTGTGTTCTTTACATCAAGTCTGATCTTCTAGAGATGGGTACTAGTCATGTGGCCATCAGAAAAGAACTAGTAATCTTCACCTGAGTGGAGGCTGTAAGGACAGGTTGTTTGCTGAGTGATATATCAGCCATTTCCTGTCATGGTTAACTGTGGGTATTAGCTTGTGATGAGCGAACAGTGCTATATTTTTTATTAAAAAGGCAACCTTGATTTGAAAAGGTGTGTGTCATACCATTAGTCATGAGTAGTGAACTCTTTTTTTGGCATTTGCAGAATTCATGGTACATGTTCGTTGGCTTGTTGACTTTCAAATTTGCTGAGACAACAGGGTATTTTTTTCTTCTCCCCCCCCTTTTTTTTGTGGGGTGGGGAGGGTGGGTCAGCATTCCCTAGAACAGCCATTCTCAACTTCCTTTTGGCCACAGCCATAAACTCAATATGAAAGAAATACAGGCCATATCAGGACTGTATAAGTCACATGACGAACTTGATCAGGTGGTGTGTGAAAAATTGTTTCCAGTCTGTGGCCCCTTTTCAACTGTGCCTCAGGGAGCCACACGGACCCGTTGAGAATGGCTGCACTAGAGGAAGCATTTGAAAATTTGGCCATTACATATCTTTGAAATATGGCCCTTTTAGAACTCCAGCAATTTCTATTGTAACTGGGATTAGGCATGTGAAATATTGCAGTTAAACAAGAGACCTCGTTGGATATTTAAAAATGATATTGAGGGATTCAAAACAGAAACAACTTAAGACGTGTCTTCCTGAAGGAACATCTTCTCTATGACCTTTCTCAATTGTTAAGTTCTTCTATGGAAGCTTTTCTTTGTGTGCTGCCACCTATAGTGAAGTCAGAGACAGTTAGAAAATAAAGGAACTTCTTTGTGGTGACCCACTAAATGCATAATAACTCCTCTGAGGAGATCCATCAGACCTATTAATCATGTTTATTTAATCTTATTAATTGAGACATCAAGCTAAGATCTTCCTTTTACAATTACCATCTTGTCTTTAATTAATTTTCTTTCTATTATCATTTTTAATGCTGGCTCAGTATTCCCAGTATTTTAACATTTTAAAAAGTAATTGTTTTAATATTGGAATTGTTTATGTTGTTTTATGGACTATTTTTGCCACGCCCCCCCCATTATACCCTTCCATGAGTGTATTGGTCATTTGAATGTTGTCTAGATTTCATGAATTAAAAAAATATAAATTATAAATGAAGCATTATGTCTAATTTATCTATTACAGCTTTTAATTTTTTAAAAGAAATGTTTTCATTAGAATTAGAATCACTGAATTCATAGTAAAGTCCTACAGTATTTCCTATCCATAGGAAAGTCCTCTCAGTTCAGTGGATCTGTTCTACTTGGAACAAATCATTAGATTTTACCTCATAACTGTGTGTAAGAAATAACTTTTTTCACCTATGTTTGACCACACATACAGAATTGCTCTCAGAAGTTACAACATTTATTTCTGTTTCATCCTCTGTTTTATAGATTTTGCCTGGCATTCTGCAGAAGCATTGCTGCATTTTACCAGACAGGAATACAGGTAAACTCTAAGGTTTCCTTCTCCCTATTCTGTTCTATTAATTCAGTCTTCTCCAGCTGGGATCTCCAGCTCTCTTGAACTACAGAAATACACTGAAATAACTAAGGCTGGAATAATGTTTTCAGGTCCTAATGTTTGAGCTTGTATGTATATATTCTTGAACTGTGTCATTAATTTTGAAACTGTATTACTGATTGATTAATTTCAGAATATTCACATGGTATATAGCCAGAACCCTTTTCTATTCTTTCATCAGTGAAATTCCTTTGGCATATATCTTAGTGGCAAATTGACGGAAGTTAAGAAGTCAGTGTCATTTATTACTGCACACTGAATCATACACCTTATTTGCAATAGTAAAAGTCTATGCTGGCTTCTTAATTTATAGCAATTCACTGAATTTTATGTTGATGGAATTATGCTGGTGGGCTTAACTGTCAGGAATCTGGCCATTAAATCTCTAAAGTCATAAACTAAAAGCAATGTAGCCTTTTGTACTATGTTATGTACAACGGCTACCAAAGAATAGTCTGCCAAAAGTATTCCCTACACTTAATCTGAGCATGGCTTTAGATTTACATGTGAGATTCTCTAATGTACTTACTACTTGTTTGCTAGCTGAAGAGAAGTGATCCTTCCACTCCTGCATTTGAAGCAGGAACAGTAGATGGACAGTCTATTATACCAATGAAAAGCCAAACTGGAATAAATTCTGTTGGCTGGTTTGGATGGTAGCAAGAAAGTCCAGCCTACTTATGGAGCTGTTGTGCTAGCCCAGCTTCTGGCAGATGTGATGATTGGCCAGCCAAAAGGCTGGTGAGAAAGAGTAGCCATTGTGTCCTGAAAGCTCTTGGGATTTCTCCATGCAACAGTGGCCAACTGGCTGCCCTCATGCTACCTTTTCTTTCAAGAATGGACTGTGGAAGTAGGGGGAATGTCACTGGAGGGAACTGTTGGGAGATGTTCACCAAGTCATTCTTTTTCTGGACCTTCCTGTTCAATTAAGCCACCCATTGGCAGAGAGGAGGCCTGTAGGCTGGACTGTCACCTAAGGCCGCCTATTGCACACAAGCAAGAGAACACAACCCGTAATAAGCATCCAGTGCACTGAGTGGAATTTGAACTGGAGACTGAAAAATGCTTGCCTTTCTAAGGGATGAGATAAAACCTTTGAGAGGGAAAGTTCCAAAGAATTCAAAGAACAGAATGAAAAAAGGACAGGAATATTGAGCAGTTTCATGGTCTCAGGATTAAATTCCAGAGATGAGACTTGAGTCACGGGACTTGCTGTCTAGTAGGACATAAATTGCATCAACTTTGCAACTCAACTCTGACTTGACTTGGGGTTTTTTGGACTCAACGTGTGACATGGAACCCACCCACTTCTCCCTTTTTTCTGGGGAGAAAAGCTTATTTTTAATAGGGACTCGGGACTTGGTCAAAGACTGAGATTAGGACTTGGGACTTGGACCCTAAGACTTTCCAACATTCCTATTAAATTCTTAATAATGACTAATACGTAATATGATTTCCCCCCACATAATAAAACAAGTGGTTTGCTCCTTAGTCATGCCCCTGAAAAAGAACTTTGTCCCAAATTCATTGGACTTTCAATGAATTGTTTCTTCCTCTATTTTTTCTCCCCCTCCTAAGTTATATGTTTATTACAATGCCAAAATTTTTATCTCATTCTTGTGTACAAATACAGTTAAAATAAATAATGCAATTAAAAACACCAAAAATCCATTTTCAGTACCATGAACCAAACTTACTTCATTTATCAATTCTTTATCAGAGCATTGCACTATTTAAAATTATGGACATATATGAAATATAGGTAAAATTAAAAACAAATAAAAATGTTAAGATAATTAGATTAATTTTGAACAGAAACAGGCTACTTCAATAAGTGTTCTCTATATCATCTTCTCTACATGTGGTGGGGCAGAAATTGCGTGCACTTAAATGCCACTTTGTTGAACTTCTACATAGTCACAGAAAAAACTGTCCAGTGTCCCCAGAAGCAGGCTACCTCAATAAGTGTTCTCTTGGTCATTTGCTAGATCATCTTCTCTACATGTGGTGGGGCATAAATTGCATGCATTTTAAATGCCACGTTGTTGAACTTCTCCATAGTCACAGAAAAAACTGTCCAGTGTCCAAGCAACCCCATTTTACTTGATTATTCTTTGATTTTCTTACTTTACTTTGACATCTATTCAGTGACTTCCAGATGGTACAGTTGGAGCCTTGTCCTGGTGTGAGACATTTCTCAACATTCATCCTCTTGGCAAAATGTATTGTTTTTGTTCTCCATAGACTTAGCCTAGCCTCTTCTGGTTTTCTATTTAGAGTTTAACATGCATGCAGAAAACTTCTCCCGGATTTTACCCATCATTTAGGGGGTAGGTATCCATGAAGTGGATGGATTTAGTGCTGTATTTCCTTAGTTCATTCATTATTTGCTAGCGCCTCCCAACATAGGTGTAAGAGCAATACAAGGCAGCAAAAGCAATACAGAAGATGACATCAACCTGTTAAAATGCCTACATAAATAAGGATTTTGAATTGATGCTGAAATAACAGGAGTGTTAGAAGGCGGAATAGCAGCTTCCCATTAGTTCCTATGGACAGAAAAGAGCAGATACGGATCAAATGGTTTTCAATGCATTCCTATGGGAAATGCAGATTTGACCTGAGAACTTTTTGACTTGAGAACCGCCTTCCAATATGGATTAAGTTCTCAAGTGAAGATCCCACTGTACAGAAGATGACATCAACCTGTTAAAATGCCTACATAAATAAGGATTTTGAATTGATGCTGAAATAACAGGAGTGTTAGAACCAGTTGTCATTTTACTGGAAGGTTACTTTATAAAGCTCTAAATGGCTTGGTTCAGCAAGTTCTGGGTCAGACTTATTTTATCCTGAATCGGCCCAATTCAGATTGTTTTTTCCTTTGTGGAACTGAACTCCGATGAAGGGGATATAGAGAGAGAAGTACTCCCTAAAGCATACAGTGTTTAGGTTACTTTGGCTTTTGAAAATCATAACCAGGACATTGAATTGTTCCTGGAAGCTGGCAAGTGACACCTAGAGATTTGTATGTTAATTTCAAGCAAGAGTAATGAGCTGGTGCTTGACTGCATGCATTGACTGGCCATTGCTATGAGTACATGGTATATAGTAACAGACTATTAACTCAGCATGTTATTTCCTCTTGATAACCCATGAGCAGACTGAGATTATTACCAGTCAATATGTGTATGTGCTGTTTATTGCACAGCTGCGAAGAAATGATGCAATAAGACTTTAAGTGCCTAGAATTATGCTGTCACTTGATGGTAATCTCAGTTGTGGCTTCTTTCCATTTGTCTGGTGTTGATTATAAAGGACACCTTTTGTAAACAAAAAGCTATTGGCCAGGATTAATGAAAAAGGGCACTTAAATAATTATCCTCCAGGTGTTCCTGAAACTGCTGATTGGAAGTCTGAGCACATGATCTATTGCATTACATTCATGTTGTGTTGGAAAGGAAACAATGCAGATACTAACAAGAGCTGGAAAAAGAGCAGCAAAGGGTGGTGGGTGGATGCAATTGTGGAAAAGGGACAGAAATTGAAAGTAGGCTTGGTGTTATCCTGGCTTCATGCATAAAAGTAAGGGAAGACTATAAAAATATAACAGGTCCTTCGCATTTGTAATAGAATGGAATAAAAATGCAGGTCCTATTTCAGAATGTCATTTTGTTCTGACCTTCCTCACTTTAGTACAAAATCGAATGTAGAATTTTCACACGATGTATTGTGCAGTATCAATCTTTAGAAGAATCCCTAGTTCTTAAAACAATTCCTGATCTTTACTGATTTATGAATGCTTCTAAACAGATAACTTTAAAAGGTGTGGGGGGGGAACCAAGGAAGGTGAGACATTGACATGGCTGGCACAACTCAGTAAACAATTTGGAATGCTTCAGGCATTATGGCAATCCTTTGTTACAACCACTCTGTGGCTGAAGGTACCTAATAATAATGTATAATAATGTACATACAGTTCTAATGTAAAACTAACAAGATAGCTTGAAGTTGTTGGGTGTTTTTTTTGGGGGGGGATGGGTGTCATCCTGCACAACAGTGATGCCAAGAAAGAAGAGTAAAACTAACAAGATAGTTTGAAGTTGTTGGGTGTTTTTTTTTGGGGGGGGAGGGATGGGTGTCACCCTGCACAACAGTGATGCCAAGAAAGAAGATTGTTATGAACCTAAACATCTACCAGCTGTTTCCATGGATTGTAAACTTGAAATATTAGTTTTTCTTCTTCATGACTGAAATCTCCGGCAAGCAACTCAAAATACGTAAAGAAATATTCCTGCTGGAAATAATTGCTTAAACAAGCATATATTATAGATGGGTGCTATTGAGCTCACGTCCTCTTTGCTGAACTAGGCAGATCTTTGATCCAAATTGAGAATGTCATTTGTAATGTTACTGTATCCAAACCTCCATTCAATTCCAAAGATACACCAGTTTGTTAAACAAAGTAAAAATGTGAGATCAAAATATGCAAAGACCACAAATCAATCAAACAAGGGTCTCCAACTTTTTGAGTTAACGGGCATATTTTGAATGTTGAAAAAGTATAATGAAAGCTAAGGCACCCACACGCCTTTACCATTTGGCTGCTGGCAGGTTCTTCTCTAGACCTTGAAGAGAAAAGCAATTTTTTCCCCGTCCTTGTTGCCCCCTCCTGTCACCTCTTGCTCCCAGGAGGAAGTTTCCCATTTATCTTTTATTGTTTAAAGAGGTACACCACATTTGCACTGCTTAATACATTAAATTTTTTTCCACTTCCTCTGCCCCTCCACAGAGATGAGGAAGTGTTTGATTTGTCAGTATCCTGAAGTAGCTCTCTTCTTAAGCCACTTCACGTTATTGGCAAACTGACATTGGGGTGATATGAACTAAATAGGGTTACTTACGGTTCAGACGCCATTTGGATA